GTATAAAAGTGTTTTCTTAAAGACACAAAAGAATTACTGAAAAAGCTGATATGCTTATATATTCGATGTATTAAATGCCAGAAGGAAAAATGCGATTTTGCCAACACAATTTGATTTGAAGCGACGCCAGATACTTTTTTAAGCTATTTTGTAACTTGTTATTGTGAAAAGGACGAAATCTAGAAAATAGCATTGGCGACGAATTGAGAAATATATATAAATTGAAAATAACGTAAACGAACAGATTCTTGCTTGTGTTATGAGTTATTAGTTTCTTATTTTGCCGAAAAAAACTAGTTATAGCAGAAAAAACATTAATTTTGAATCCAATTTAACAAGAAAGTATAATTAAATGGAAAATATATAATTGGTTGTTACAGAAATAAATTTGAGATACATTGCAGTATATTATGTTCAATTAACATCGAGATACCGCACGATTGTCGTATTCTGATTCTGATACAGACAAGTGAATCAACTTATTAATAATTAATCAACAATTTTATTATCATAATCTATTAAAATTACAAGAAAAATTCTTGAGTTTAAAATTCTAATAATTTTACTCTGTTATAATTTTTTGAGAATTAATTATATACGTAAAAATAGAATATTTGAAATAAATTTATTACATAGAAATATTAAATATTTCAAGATAAGATCAGTTAGCACTTGACCTTGATGTTTATTTTTGCAGCTCTTTGTACAGAAGGTCGTCGCTCAATCATTTGCAAATCGACGCTCGAGCAGCTCCGTATAGCGTTACATTATTATCTCTTAATCGAGATCAATTTGCAATTATTAGATTGTACGTTTAATTAATTCGATGATTAAAAACTCATGAGCGTAACAAAGAAGTAGCAATTTATTGTTTTTTTTTTACTGAAACGTTTTTTAGATTAAAAACTTCTTGAAGATTGCAGTACATTGAATATAAAATTAAGAGAATGTAAAATTAAGGGGGGATGTAGAAGGGAGGATCCAGCAAAGTGGAACACATTTTTCAGGTACACTTCCTTTGTTACATAATATTACTCGTATAAAAAATTAGAACTCCTTATCTAAATTCGTCTTTTGAAGTTTCTTCTCTTTCGAGGCGGTTTGTTTGAATTGAAAAACAAGTGAAATATCGCCGCAATTTTACGGAGATACTTCACGCGGTCGAAGTCGACTTTTAGAATACGCACGAGGTGGAAAGTGAGCTCCTCTTAATGAAAGAAATAATTTATGTTCTTACTTGGGAAAATCTCTTGCTTTCGGTATATTTTGAATCCTAGTTCGCGAAACCTATTTAAAGTACCCTTTGCATACTTGAATTATGAGAAAACATGGTGCGAGGTATAAAAATATGCCTATAATGAATCAAAAGTGCGCTTTTAAACTTTTACACGTATTTGTTACGCGGATATAGCATATATAATTTACATTATTTTTTTTTAGCAAAACATGAAATTGAGTACAAAAATAAAAAGGGAAATAAATTCTTTTGGCGATTATATTGTCTTATAATCGTGAGAAATATTAAAACTCATTAAAAATCGCGTTGATTTTTTATGTATTATCTTTTATGTTATAATTTGATGCATACCAGAGGAACAAATGTTTTTCATTTTTTGTCAGATATTAGAAAGAAATTTCAAAATTGAATGAGTATTTAATTGAAACTTATTCTTACAAGGAGAGAATAAAATAGGGAGCAAGTTAAAATGGGAAGGCTCAGTGAGAACAGAGCATCACCAGTTTAAACGAACGGCAAGCTTAAGCTTCGACATTGTCGCGCGAAGAAAAAGGGAAAAAACATTCCGTCGATATTGACGAAGGTGCTGCAGTCGGCGACCTCGTATAGCAGGTAGCGATGAACAAGATCGTAGATATTGCGAGCGGCAATTCGCTTTTATAGCTGTTCACACGAATCCATCTAAATTTCTTTTACTACCAATCCATTGAAACCACACGATAAATTGTTTAAAGAATTGATCGAGGAAAAAATTTAGAAAGTATAAAAAATAGCAAGAGATTGCTGCAGCGGTGTGAAGTCCCCCCCCCCCTACTGAAAATTTAAAAACGGCCACTATCTTGATTGGTAATTAAAATTGTAAATAATAATATGAAAAAAGACATACGCGCATGAAGTTAACTCCTCCTTTCACAAAATATGACTTTCCGGACTCCGTCCGTAATCATAACTGTAAGCATTTGTTTGGTGGTTGTTTACTGACGTTTGGTAGTCCATTCTTGACGATTGGTAGTTGTAAATAATAATTATAAATAATAATATGAAAAAAAAGACATGCGAAATCAAGTTAGCCCCTCCACACAGCTGATTGCCACATCGAGGATAGCAAAAGGCTCTGCTTACGCATTTTGTCGATTAAAAATGTTTTATTATGCAAAGATAAAGTTGTTTTGACACGCGGGACAAGCGAATGCAAATAATACAAGCACTGCCTATGTGCATTCTCGTGCTTATCCGGCATTCCATCGCCTCTGATATTAGAACTTTCACTATTTTTCGCGTCTTGTCTTGCACGGTAGCGAGCTGTCTTCTCGAAACATTGTTGGTAGAAATACGCCAGCCGGCGCGGCGTCTGGACAAACATCGTAGTTCCTACCACATGCCTTATTTGGCATTTGGTATTTTCTGCGGTAAATAGCGCGGTATACCAGTGCACTTTGCACACGTCGCGCCGTGAGAAAAACAATATTGCATTATCGTATCCACCTCGCTGGTATCATGTCGTGTATCTGGCGCACGCGACGCGATGCGTCATTGTGTTCGCGGTAAATATGTTTGTTCTCGCGAAATATCACATTAGGTACGAGCGGGTCTAGTGCGGCCGGCCACGTCGCGACGCGCGATAATTCACGATTTCGCGCGTCGGCATGATTCACATCCTCCCAGGAGACAGAACTCCGTGACTTTGATACATTGGATGAGGCCTGTCACTAAGCATACAGAACACTACTATATCACCGAGTCGGTCTCGCTTTAGATCCCTTAAATACCGATTTGTATAATATATTCAAACGTTGGATCTTCATATAATTTGAATAAGAAAGTAACAATTCGCATATTTTCGACACAAAAAAATTGATTATAAATTTTACAAGGAGAAAAGGGACTACATATTTTCAAATGTCATGAAAAAATTAAATACAATTATATTATAATAAATATAATTGTATATTCCATACTTTTAGTATATTTGAGAACAAAAAGATAGAGGGGCAAAATTGACGCAATTACTGTTTAATGATAAGTATATTTCTCCTAACGTATTTTAAAATTTATAGAGTTATTGTACATATCGCTGCCGACGGAATCGATTCTTCGGCATCAATTAAATTGTCTTGAACAATCCATTCCTGAAAATCTGCACGCATGATTTTATGAAAATACTATATAACATGTGCGTATATATGTGTATTACCTATATATTAACGAACTAGGAACACTAGGAAAGGATTTTACTTTTGAGCAATTTTCTTAAACCTAATGAATAAAACGTTATTAACAACTGCGGCTGGTTGGAATCAACTAGTTTTAAAACTAGCTAAGTGCTTCGTAATCTCGCGTTATATAATTTTAAAAAGCGCGAAATATATTTATAAAATTATTTAATAAAAAATTCAGGTATTTCTTTTATGTAACAATTTGTTTGAAGAAAAATCTCTATAAAGGACCGTTGAAGGTTTGTCATCGCGAAATAAGTTATTAAGCTTTAGTGAAAATAATTCTCGATTAATTGCAAACATCACAGCGAAAGACTTAGTCAATTTTAAAACTAGACGTGGAATGGCCTTATGAATTAACAAGATATGCGTTTTCGGAAGAGATGCGCGTTTCGTGAGATTACGTATACGCTTATGCATACAAAAGTACAAAAATCTCTCGATGCAGTTGCGGATATAACGCATATCGTACACATAACGCAATATACATGCTCTGCTCGCTTAACATTTACTCGTGGAATATACAGTGGTGAATGATACAAATGCTCTATTTCAAAACCCTATATCTTAAATAAAAGTTTAAGCTACGTGATGTATATATGGCAGTTCAGTTTCATTTATATATATATATATATATATAACGTCGTACAACAACGCGAAATAAAATATGCAACATTATTTTACATGTAATTAAAATATCAACGTCATTTTTAATTTCTGGTTTCTTCCGCAAGAGAAATCGCCTATTACAAAATAATGAATGATCACAATTGGTAACGAATTTAATCGATCTACACGATCGCAATTTAGTCAATCTACTCCCTCGTGACTCATTCGTTAAAAGAATGCGAGCGAGACAACGATCTTTCGCTGTTCGCATCTCACGTTTAAATGCTCCGTTTAAGATCAATCAAGCTAATTGTGACACCGCAATAGTTTCTAATGACAAAATCAATAATCATTTATGCGATAAATTTATGTGTTAAATACTTGTCTTATAATAATTTATAATCATTGAATTTTTCATGTTTATATTTATTGAACTTTTTGTTTAAAATTTTGTAAAAATTGCGAGTTCTACATTATTTTGTTTAAATTTATAGTTATTATTTTTATATTTTTTATATTATAAAAATTATGATAAAAAATATATCTGCAGAATAGTAAAATAGTATTTTTTTTCTAATTTAACTTCTTCCTCAGGGACTCGTATCGGTGAGTACGGGAGTTCGCCTTCCCGAGATACCCGAGCCATTCGAAGTCTGAAGGCGTAAGATACCTTATTCATATTCCCAGGCCAGACAGCCTAGGAACATAGAAGGAGATGCACGATGTTATCTTAAACTTTAAGATATAAAATGCATTAGTGCATTATTATTGGTCTTTTTAATTCGACCAATTGATTGCGTCAAATATGAATATTTAAGATTTAAAGCATGCATCGATAAATATTCATATTTGACAATCAGTTTTCCAATTAAAACTAAGACCGTAATTAAAGCACAGATTTGGGTTGTAAAATTACAAATGGATATTTTACTATCACGTTAAATAATGTTTGCTATTATTTTTATCATTAATAAATTTTTGCGGTATCGCAATTTAGAAATTTAAGGCGTCGTCGTTTACACTTCGTGAAATAAATCTGTCAAAAAAAAAAAAAAAAAAAAAAAACAATCAAGTCTTTGAGCTTCAGGCAGATCACAAGTGTGCGGAAAGCATTTTTCTCTTGCGTTATACACATCTCGTAAGATGAGAATTTTTTCCAAGCATGATCAGATTTTTGCTTTTAAAACTGTACAGCTTGAGCACGAGCGAACGCGATCGATCGTTCTGTCGATTGCACGTACGAAATCGATCATTTCCCGTTTACCGCGCGGAGGCATGCGGTATAATTACATTCTCGGCTCGAGCGCACGTTTTTTATAAATTATTATGCATTAATATGTACAACGCGTATCGTATGTAGCACGAACGAGCGCGCGCGCGCGCGCGTACGCGGGGTATGAGGAGTAATGAGACACAGTTTTGTGAGGCCTTCAATCAGGATGCGGAAGGCTCGATCGCGGTCGGTTTCTTCTCGTTGCGCCTCTCCCACGTGTTGATCCTCTCGAGCGGATAGCAGATCACAGCCGACATGAGAATCAGGCTGCCGGACAGGTAGAACGAGGCGTCGTAACTCCCGGTTGCATCCATGAACGCGCCTGTTTGCACGGATAAATATTATTCACTAAATTGACATACAACTTCTCTGATTTATGAATCGTTATGGGCGAGGAGATTTATCGTACGTATAGTAATGAATAATTCTGACGAACGGCATAAACATTTCCTAGAAAAAGGCGCTTGCTTGAAAGGTCTGCATTCGCAAATCAGCGCTCCGATCAAGTTTATTGCGACGCCATATATTCCGATGATCGATATCATTCTAATTACCTGCGAGAGGCGCGCCCACAGTCGCCGCCACACCTTGGAACAAAAGAAGCAGCCCAAAAGCATTTGTCAGTTTCTCTAAGCCCAGCAGATCCACAACTAGGATCGATCTGAGGGACGCGAAGACAGCTGCGAAAAAATATCTAATATATTTCACAGATCTAACAAATAGATAATTAAAACGTAGGCTTGTATAAATTTTAAATGAAAATATTGTGTAAATATGGACAAAATGATAAAATACATTTATAAAATTTTTACATATAAGATGTATCTTATCCTTTTGTTTTCGTTCATAAAGAAATTTACGATGTCACGTAGTCTACTTACATATGCTGAGGCCAAAGCTGGCTGCATAGAAGAATTGATATCCCTCGGATAGAGAAAGGCCGGAGAATATAGTCACTAAACCACCGACACTGATAAATATATTGTTCACGACCAGAGCGTTAACTCCTGGCAAACTGCTTGCTAATCCGCAAACGATACGACCGATGGTGTTACCGATACCGATCACCGAAACGAGGAACATTGCCGTTGAAGCGTCAATGTCAGCCTTTATTGCACGATCTGCAAAGACGGTGGACAAAATGATTTATTTCTTAAAGTAAAAGGAACAATTCACAAAATATGTGTGTTAGAGAATACAATAAAGATAAATCATAATTTATAAACGGAATATGCACGGTTTTTATCTTTGCTATAAATCTAAAAATACAAATATAATAGCAAATGGCAGTAAAGAAAAATTGTGAAAGAATAAGTATTGATCGTTTGATATATTCACCTGTTACATACAGAAAGGGCGTATAAAAGCCCATCATAGTGAGCCCACCGGAGATCGCTAATATTAGAAAGGACGGACTTTTTAGTAGGCTCAAATCGAGCATTGTGGTCAGAATGCGTCGCACACTTTCCGGACACAGGTAGAAACTTCCGCTCTCTTCCTCCGCCACATCCTTTGCCGTTGGCAATCGCGTCACTGACATGTGATAACCAACCGACGATTGCTAGAAAATCGTATTATCTTTCATTTATTTTAAGCAAAATTTCTTTGTACAATCAAAAATTCAATAACGTCATTTTAATTTTGCTTTAGCTTAATTTATTATTTTATGTTCTCGTAGAAGTACAACTATAGAAGAAAGCGAAATATCGATTAATCATTTAAATCGCTCTAATTTTGTATTCTTTACACAAAAATTAGAAAATATTTTATATATCAGATTAGTATCAGATACACATAAAGGAAAAAAATTTTTAAAGTACATTACGAAAATATATTTGCGATAGAACTTACCTGAGACCTATAATGAGGAAGTCTGTACAAAGAGCCGCCATAAAAAATATCGTCTCTGTAGAACGGTCTCTGCGTATCTTTCGAATTACGTCTGTCCATTCGAAGAGATTTTTGGCTGCATTCCGAACCCGTTCGGAGACGCCTGCCACTAATCGTATGTCGACGTATCTAAATCGGAAAACAGATTTTTTTTAATTTTCTCAAATATAAGTAATTTTAGAATAACCTATTTATATTATTTTTCGCATCTAACACACATTTTTTGCAGGTTTATGTATAAAACAGATGTTTACGAAAATAATTGATTTGTAAGTAGATTTGTAGGATTTTCCAGGTCATAGAGTTGGCACTCGTAGCTTCGGAAATACTAAATTTTCGTTTCTTGGCAAAAGTGAACGTATATTTTTCTTCTACGACCACATATATTTCAGATGTACTTTACTTTGAAAACTACAAAAGAGAAAAACGAAAGTCGCGAGAATTGGAACTAATGGAGAATTTCGATCATATCGATCAAACTTTAACATAATCAAACATTTTTACAATTTTTTTTACTGCAATCAATTGATTGATTACAGCATTGCGCTGATTATAGCTTGGCAGATAAAATTAATCTCTACTTTATATATATTTAATCAAAATCGATTATCCTTAAAAATAAATATTTCTTTTGATAATTTCTGTCATGAAGAATTTTGATATTTTTAGATTTTCGTTCTTTATTTCTCTTAAAGTTTTAGCGCGAAAATCGATGAAATATCCATCTTAGTTTGCGGCCGATCTGTTTGCTTAAATTTTCTGTTCTTCTAACTAAAATAACGTTCTCCATATGTATGTCGATCTTACCGTCGGTACTTTCCCATTCAATCGCTCCAAATCGCCGCTGAGCAGATTATTCTCCTCGGCGATCTTCTCCTCCTCGTTAGTCATAACGTCCAAGTCGGGGGCATCGGCGGGATATATCGGCGCGGATAACCGTTTCTCCGAAATGCTCACCTTTCTCTCCAAGGTCTGAGTCTCCTCGTGCACCTTGTGCAACGAGTGCAGGGACTTGGATGTGCTGAACAGAAATCAGGACGTTTCATTGAGAAAGTTGATGCTTGTTAAGAGAAACGATTGTCAAGTATCTCAATGCAAATGTATAGGATTCTCCGTTATTACTTTACTATGTTAGGGCTGCTGCCGAGGAGTTCCGCCGCCGTCGGGTATTCCGTATTATTATTCGTGCCGAAGAAACCACTTCTATTCGGTTGCATACAGTGCAACGAGGTCGTTGACACACCTTTTCCCATCAACGTGGTTTTCACCTCGAGCGCCGCGTTTTCCGGAGTGTTCTTTACTTTAATCCTCGTTGGTTTCAAGGGACGGAACATCGCGCCGAATATGGCACAATGTAACAGCATTCCTGAAAACCGCGTAAGCCATTTCTTCCGTTAGTCAGACCTCAAATTGTTGATTATTATCTAAATTCGTTTTAATGAACATTAATATGTATATAATTATATAATTGATGATTATATAATTGATGCTTGAAATACTACAATCTTAAATTTTTTAAATATGTAAATTTATATATTTATATATGTACACACATTTATATATTTAAACAAATACACACGTCCATTAGATAATATTAATCTATTAGACATATAGTATTTAATAATATACATTTAGACTTATTTCTATTGTTAGTTATGAATATACATTTATTTATGTCATTTATGACGCAATAATATGTGAAATAGTCTGTTATGAGTATTATAATCGATTTTTTGGCACATATCATTTTTTATGATATATTACTTAGACTTCCAAATACCATAATATTATTTGGCAATTGATTATGCACATGCAAACGTCATAGTTTATGAGTCGAGACACAAAGTGCGGAAGTAAAGAGAGTTTCGTACAGTTTCATAACTTACTGCTCAATCAAACGATATCTTTTAGACGCTAACTTATCTCGTGCGATCCGACTTTTCTCTCGAGGTAAGCTGTATGCATGCCTTAACCGTCATATGTTATTCATGCAAATTTTTGTTATCTAACCAAATGTACGTGACGTACCATAATATTAAGTAGAAAAGGGCTACTATCATTTTTCATTGATGAGAAACTACTGATAAGTTCATAGTCAGCAAATTTAATTGAAAGTTTAATTAAGAAAAAGTGTAGGACAAAAAGTAAGGTTCTTTATTACGCCTGCGTAATGTAGATGATATCGCGTTTTTATTTTCAACAATAGACGGTTCGATGAATCTATACAGTAAATTTTTTTAAAATATTCGATATTAATTAAAATTTCAATTAAAAGAACAGGCATTGCAATTCATATAATTTCGATGAATTCTTTGTGATTTTAATGAATGTAAAGCTACTATTAGTCTTGTAACAAAAAATAAATTTGGATTAAAATTATATTTTTTCCAATTCGCGATTTAAGGTCCATTTTTAAAAACATAATTTTTTTTTAAATAAATCAATACTCACCTGCTTGACACAGCAAAGCTCCTCTCCAGCCGAAAGTTTTCACGAGTATATTCGAAAGCGGTGCGAGCAAAAATGCACCGATACCGGAGCCACATACTGCGATACCTGTGGCTAAGGCTCGCCATTTTTCAAAATAAAAACCAGTAGTTATCACGGCCGGCACGTATATTAGACCTGCTCCAATGCCACCTGAGAGTTTTTGAAAAAAACATTTATGTTAAAAAAAAATCTTTGCATAAATATAACATTTATTTATTTGCAAACATTCAAATCGATCTTTGATCAGAAATCTTAGGTATTTAATTTTTTGACAACACAAAGTCCCCCCTAATTTTTAAAATACATAGTTTTATTATGCTAATTTTAAATTGTTTTGAAATCTATATTTAATTTCGTTCTTTACATAATTATTTTTTAAAAGTACTGAAAAAAGAGTATATTTTCAAGTCAAAACCGACATTCAAATATCGATAATAGATGCGGTCCAGATTCTCGGAAGAATTTTTCGTAGGATTGGATAAAGTAGTTGGGAATGTCGTGTGTGACAAAAAGAGAACTGGACAAAAAAAGAACTCTGGGCGGAAATGCCAACTACTTGGGCAGTAAGAAATATCCGAGACATAGAGGGTAAGAACTTACCGATGGCACCATAAGAAATGTAAAGGAATTCGATGGAAGTGCTGAAGTACGCGAGGACGAAGGCGCTACAGCTTATCACACTTCCTAATATCGCCACCAGTCTAAAGCCATATCGATTGGCGAGGGCGGATACGAAGGGACCTGAGGAAAGCGATAATTTAATTCGTAACGTCGTCGCTTTGCTCACGATTGCGGTCTTTTGATTTTCAGATTTCCGTTCGTATGAAAACGGATCTTTCTCTCTCTGTCTCTCTCTCTCTCTTTACATGCTGCTTATCGATACGATCCTAATTACCATATTTCCTTTTTTTTTTCCTTTAGTCGAGAGTATATTAATTGCTACGTATATTGACTGTTTGACTGTACACAACTTAGCACAAATGTCGTCATTATAATAGCAAGCAAATTGTGGGAACAATATACATACATGTCGTATGTTTGTACAAGTGATTCTATTACTGGGTATAATGTTACTAATAACGATACTACGCAATATAAAATAATGTGTGACGAATTTATAGGTATATTAAGAAAAAGAAATAGCACGTTTTTATGACGTAATTGGAAATGTAAATTTGAGGTGTCATTAATAAAATTTTGCGCACACGCGTTAATGATAGAGAAATCTAAAATTATAAATTCAAAATATACCTACAAATATTTTCTCTACTTCGAAATTGGCATTTTTATTTTAATCGATTAATTTTATATAAACTAATCAATTATCCGCCAATTTTTGTATTATACGTGATAATAAAAGAATTACATGTATAAAATGCATACAGTTACCGCGCATAAATAATTCTTAATTTCTTCGAAACGTACAGTTTCCGCAACATTAAGGGTAAATTGTAGCTTACATCGCTCTTTATCATCATGGGTAGTTAGCCACGATTTTGCCACGCTTTTGTATCGCTAAAATTGATTATAAACATTCTGTACCTGAAGGATTCGCGATATGTAATTTCCCCAGAGCAACATATAAACCATCGTGTATTTCCCTTCTGACTTTTGAAAACGATTACACAGCAATATGTATACAATATAATTAAACGCGCTTAACATTTATGGAAAGTATTATGGAAATGATTAATTATCGATATCATTGAAGTGGATACGAGATCGCGAATTTAAACGTGTAAAACGTTGTTAAATGTGTTCGACAATAAATTGAACGGCAAGTGGAAATGTTCCTGCATATTTATTTTTCTTGCACTGCGAAAATCCTTGAGACTGACCATACAAACGGTTACTTATTGCTATGCTAACTCGGGTGCGAACACAAGTGTACATCACACAATACACATACATCTTCATCGGCTCGATACATATCAGGAAGATTCCACATGCGAGCACATTATAGCGTTGTATTGTATAAACAGACTTATCAGTTGCGTACATTCAACAGAAATACGGCTATTCTTATCGTATTTTCGGTGTCTTGCTCAAAACGTATTGCGTCAATATTGTGATTTGATATGTCAAAGAAATGTAAATTTTAAATATTGCAAAATATTCCTTCTTTGAAATAGAAAACTCGAAAGAAATCATAGATTCAGCAGTACGATACATATTTTATATGTTCCAATTATATTCTTTATAAACACAACTTCATAAACTATTTATTAATTATAAATAGTTTATGAAGTTTACTTGTTTGTTATAATTACATACGTTTTTATATTTTAATCAAATGCATTTCTTTAATAAGACGTCTCGTTATGCAAATCTGAGAGACACTCTATTGCTCGGAATAAAAATTTAAAAGTTTGCATGCTATTATGAAATGATTTTAATACATTTTTTATATAGATTTGACAATCCTAAATTAATTTTATGATTCTAATCCTATCTTAAAAGGGTATGTTAAATCGATATTTAAGTTGTCGAAAATCTTGAAGAGATTTTTATTATTGGCTCTTTTCCGCGACATTGATTGATTTGATTCTCTCACTGCTTATTTTGTAGCTGTCATCATATGTACATACATTTGGACAGTTGTGCGTATCGAAGGGTTAATAGCGTAATACAATGTAACTGTATGCATTGGCATAGTAAAGAAGTACAGAAAAAGTTAAATAGTGCGCGTGAAGCACGACTTTTAAAGCGATTAGATTTTGTAAAGCAATCACTCATTCGGACGCATAATTCAAAATTTTTCTTTGCCTGACTATAAATTTATTTGATAGAGGGATTTCTTGAAATTTCAAAAAGATAGAGAAAATGTGTAGCATTTTTTGACAGTAAATACCCAGCTTTTTATATTAAATAAAAATTACTTATTTCAAATAATTTTAAATAAATTATTTTACGATTAATACGTAGATCTGCCATTAAATGTTACATACGTGTCGTTACTAACCAGCCATTAGATAAAATCCGCTCTGTAACGAATTAACGAATGCGACACTCGCTTTTGATACAGAGAACGCATCTGCGATGTCGTTGAGAAACACACCGAAGCTGAAAATGATACCGTCGACGAAGAAGTTGCACATAAAGGAGGCTGCAACAATCACCCAGCCCCATCCTCCGTCAGGTGGTACAACCATTTCCACTTCGATAGTCTATTGGCAAATGTTAATGAAACGTTTAAAGTAATTAAGTATATCTTAAGCAAACTAATTGAGTATTTATGTAAAATTATCAGAAATGACTATTTTTGCGTGCTATCGCAATAGCAAATTTATTGCAATTCTTTCCTCCCTACTTTTTTAAACTTGTAATTAAGATTGGGTAATTTTGCATTAATTAGAGAATTTTATTCATATATTTTATACTAATAACATTTTTTTAAACGAATTTACAGGAAGGCAAGATTTTGACCTCTGTAAACTTAGCACCCTCATAATTAAAATATTTTAGTCTTGTACGTGATGCTAGAAGCAATAAATTCCAGATGACGACTTATAGAACAATAAATTAACACTTAATTAAAGCATATAGTTGAACTTTTTTTAGTGGTAGGGTGCTAAATTTACAGAGATAAGATTTTAAATTAATGAAACATAGATAATTTTAAAAAATTATACGTATTTATTGCAATATTTTCATAAAAATAAACAAGATAAAACAAAGGCTTGAAATAAACTATATAATAAACTATATAATATTGCACATAAACGCACTTAAAAGCGACAACTTACCTATTAAATAATTAAAATTTGGTTTAGTTTAGTTTTTTAAACCGTACGCAATCAACTTACTGCAAGCGTCGTTTATAGGGACAAGCGCCATAATGGAAATTAGAGACCTATGACTTCTTTTGACTAATTAATATGGAAATGTGTGCAAACGATGTGTGTTGATTTTGAGCAAGAAACAAAACAAGTTAAAAGCATTAAAGTTAAGGAAAACGTATAAATATAAATTATTTAAAAATAACCGTGAATATAATTTTCATTGTTGTATTATTCTTAATATAGAATATTAGTCTAATACTGCAAAAACTTTATGGAGATCGAGCACAATGAGGTGCATGCATAAGATTTAATTTAATAGTTGCAATATCTAGTTTACGTGATTTGTTTCTAACCTATTCTATTGTAATATTTGTCTATTTTGTAATACCTTGATTTAAATTTGATGAAGAAACTATTTTACATTTATGAATATTAAAAATATAGTCTAGAATCAATAAAAAGTTTACTAATTATTAGATATTAACGAATTATTAAAAAGTTAATTTGAAAAATTAATTATAAACGAATATTTAGTTTTGAAAATTTACTTATTTATTTGTTTGATTTTTTTAAATTATAAATTTACACATTTCGAATATTTCAATATAAATTATTCACGTATTATTCATAGAATAACATGATTAATGATTTTGTGCTTATAGTGAATGAAGTAATTTCTTGATAATTGGCTTGAGAAATAATTATACTTTTCGCATTAATCGTAATTAATGTTGTATTTTATTTGCATTAAAATATACATGGCTATTTTGCGCAAGCAGCAGAGCTATACGTTCAAACTACATGTTAGAAACTTCGTACCTCGACTATCAATAAATTCTAAGGGTGATAATTATCGCGTGAGAACTGTTTTCTCGCTCATGAGAAAACACGATACGATAGGTCTATACTGAAGCTAGTTTAGAGAAGCGGCACGAAATCAGTTAATTCGCGAGTGTCCTCTTGGTATTTCAACATCAACTCGATTTGCCTTTGCTCATTGGAAATTCACTACGTGCCTAAGGTCAAGGCCGTTCAGAAAGTCGAGAGGCCGGTTTTTAGTAATTCGACCGTTTCGTGACCCAAAACTTCAAGTTATCAAATCGTGTCGTCAAATGTGTGTCGTGTGTGCCAAAAACGTTGATTTGCCGCAGACGGCATTTACCTTCGGTCTCTTCGATATAAAACAACGTTTCAAAGTTACTTTTAAAAAGCTCTAGAGAAAAAAAGTAATACAAAATTATTTTTGCAAGTAGAAAATTAATATTTCTAAGTTCTTAGAAAAGAGATGAGAAAAGAATTTGTGAAGCATATGCAATCGCGTTATAATTGTATGCTGCAGCCATCGTATATATAATATCTTAAAAGAGAAAAGCTTATTAACTCATATGTTTAATTTATTCTCAGTGATCTAGATCGATTATAAAGAAATTAGCGAAATCATTCTACGCGCGAAGCGTTTCTTACAATTCAGGAAATCGTCACAACGGCTTTCATTTTCGTCGATCGGCAGAGGCACTTTCTTTGCACGATTATAAACATAGAGGTAAATCCAAAGAGATTTGTTGTTTCGGAAAGTTTCCAGCTTATTCGCACAGAAAGCGGCACGTGTCACGTCAATTATTTGCGACATAAAAAGTCAAGAGGAGGCTTTATCGCGTCGCTCGCATTGCTCGCGTTCGCGTTGTTAATTTCCAGGCGAACTGCAGATAAGAAAAGAAATTCAGTCGGGGACGCGTATCCGCCCCTGGATGACCCACAGCGAGACAACGACTATCGGGTCCATTATGTGTCGCAAATAAAGCGATATCGCGGTTTTGCAGTTTTGCAGCGCGCGTGATCTGCCCGTCGCTCTCAACGCGAGCGTACTTACTGATCGCGCGAACGGGACCGACAGCTGCCGCGCGAATGATCGCGCCGCGCGACGCGGCGCGATTTTTTGCACCTTCTTACATTTCGACGCGCCTACATCGGTGAGAAAATATCGCGGAAAATCACCTCGTCGTTATTGTTGTCATTGACGTCCTCGAGCTGCAGCTCCTCGCTCTTGCTGCGCTCGTGACCATTTTGCTGCGGCGCGGGCGGTTTGCTCGCGTCGGAGACCTGCTCATCATCCACTTTGCCCGCCGTCGTCGACATCGTCCCGTCCGAATATCTGAAACACGTCCGTGTGCAAAACGCCATTTGAAATCGGTTCAACGATGACAGATACACGTCGATGCGATAAAAGTAATCCAACAGATAAACTTGATTTAGATATGTACTAATGAAAAACTTAGAGAAGATAACTCTAACGACGCGACTAAAACTGATATTAGCAAACTATGGCCGTTTAATTTGTTACGACTCGCGTAATTATTAATTAATTACATTGTAAATCTTGTTGTTAAAAATTTGTTTTTTTCTTTTTATAAGCATTTAATATCGCCGTTTTATCTGCTAGCCCGCAAAGCCTAGCATTTTACTTAATCTGATTCGTCACAGAAAATTTTATCGATTCCTTTGAAAGTGACATTTCGAAAGTGCTTTACGCTGAAAACGATGACTAGCGATATACTTCCCGAATGTTATTGCGAAAATAGAGACATTACGTCTTGTAATCGTACATCGATTTGCTAATGCGATGTTTTCGTTCATGGGATGTTTATTATCTGTCATCACAGTACTGTATCTATTACGACATTTTCGTTTGAGATTCACAATAAGACGATAAAATTGATTATCGAAAGAAAATACAAATTATCATATTGCGCATTATCTTGTTAATGCGTTGCTGTCACTAATTTCATGCTCTTTTTACACAATTTTTCAATGACACACATTCCACGATTCCACTGAGATGCAATAAATATCGAGGATTAATCCGTTTCGAAAGAATGCCGCTCGAAAGTAGTATGAATAATCAAAGTGACATACGTCTACGCTTGACATATGTTTACTGTATCGTAATAGAACTTGAATGACTCCTGTTATTCGCATCAACGTTCAATTCGTTTAAGTTTCTTTTTAAAAAAAAAAAGTGTAAGGCACGACAAATCTCCCGAACAGATTGCATATATCATCTTACGATATGAATTTACGGTACATTCATAAAATGAAAGTAAAAAATACGCACGTAAAAAAAATAAGAAAGTAAAAAAATGTAATTAAGAATTAATATCGAAGATTAATTGTGACAAAATAGAACATTTATCTAAAAGATCGTCGATTTATCTAAAAGATCTATTTAGATCAAATCACGATCATACAACTGTAGATAAAAAATATCTCCCTGCAGAATGTTATCTGGAACATCTTATATAACGATATAATATAATAAATATAATAAAGAAATCCGAGACAAGTCCGACTACTTTCTTCGTATCGGTATGTCATCAATGATAGTTTTTCTTTCTTTTTCTCACACGTGCAATATACGAAGCGTAGTAATGCTGAGGCAAAAGAGCGATTTGCTTATTAATTGAATACCGACAGAAAAGACGACAGTGTCGAATCGGTCGATGGTCACGTGTTTTGGTAGTATCAACGAGTTTTCGTAGTATAACTTTACAATTCGCCTGGCCTTGATCTTTCGGAATTCATCTCTCTTGATTTTCTTACTTGGATTCAGTCGTAGACATAGCGTTTTCGTTATACGATATCTCGGCAGACTTTAAAGTGATAAGAGCCACTCGAGAATACGTTACATGAGCTGATCGATTTTTTATCGGTGTCACGTGATTAGTTGTTATTAATTCTGAAAATTAATAGCGACAATAGTTGATAGCTCAATACGGTTGATAGCTGAATTGCAGACATTGCAGTACAGTGTACGTTATCAAGAACACTCGATAAACAGACAATTACAGGATTAAGATGATTTCGTTATCGCAATCTGCCATTTCGTTGTCGTGTCTAACAAGCTAACTTTTAAACATTCTTTGTTCTTTAATTTGGAATTGATTTTTCTTTGACAATATGACTAATTGATGTTATTTTATCGGAAAATTATTATTTATCGTGTGAATCAATCTTTAACATTAAATACCTCTAAAACCTTAAAATTAATGAAGAAGGTTTATTAAAAATATGACTAAACTATCTATTTTTTCTAAAATTTTGTACTCGAAAAAGAAATTATATCGACTGAAAATTCGTTCGCAGTTTATTAACTCTTAATAACAAATGGCTTATCTGATTAAAAAGATTGATAATATTTCAGTGGCATCGTGGAATGCGTATCATTGAAAAATTGTGTAAAAAGGACGTGAAATTAATGAGAGCAACACATTAGAAAGGCGATGCGCAATATGACAATGTATTTTCTTTCGATAATCAGTATGGATAATAAATTAATCAAAGAATTTGCAATCAGACCATGATTCGATGAGTTTAAGATATTCTGATATATAATTAAATTAAAAAAGATTAAAACGATACTCATTGAAATTCTACTTACTGATTCTACTTACTGATCGAACAGATGTTTACAAAAAGGCAACAAAATTAGAATTATAATAACATTTAATACGTTTGAAGTATATCGAATCTATCTTATGAATCTCATATTTGACGTCTTATAAATTGACGATAAGATAACCTCAAATATTGAAGCAAAATATTTATGTCTCGTACATACAACATACAAACATTTTTTTCCAATTCGTAGCATTCTTTCGTATTCGATATTACAGTTTTATTGCTCGACCGATTGCATCAACATCTTCTCTTTCTCTTTTTCTTTTTCTCTTTTTCATGGCGCCTCGAAATATACATGTGATTATGCTGCCTGTCTCTCAGAGATACACACAATATCAAAAACGATTAAAAATTACGACTTTATCTTTCACCCGTGCATTTGCTAAAAGTTGTATTATACACAGCTTCAGCAGCTACCACGCAAACAGAATTGTGTAAACTTTGCTAATTGATAAAGGATATATTTATTTTTAGCGCGATTTTGCTCATTTTATTCTCTGAGCAATGATCTACGAAAGGAGAAAGTAAATTCGGCAGTGGACACTGCAATATTGTTTCACTTTTTTCTCGCTGTGATTGTTTCTATCTGTCACAATGTTCATTTTGATCTTTAATAAAATTAAAAATCTTATATTTATATATACATATATGTATATCTATATTTAAATAAATATAATAATTAAATATTTTTAAATTTGCCATATAAAAATAAAAAGACAAAAGTATAATAGTTTGTATTAATTAATATATCTTTAACATTTTTTAAAGTATTAAGTCTTTTCGTTATTTATTAGATGCATTACATATATTAATTATTATATCAACAATATTTATATAATTATTTTTTTATATTTATATAAGTATTGTACATTTTTTATTTGAACATAGAATGTTAAACTGTGTATTCAATTGTGAATCTAATCGTATAATTAACAGAATGTTTTCTGAATTTTATTTTGACCGACATTATGAGAGTACATGTGACCAATATTTATAAAACTATTATTACAACGATGTAAAATCTAGATAATGACTTATTCATGGAGCCGTACTATTTCAGATATAATTCAGATATACCACAGTACCACTTATTTTTTATTGTAGGTAAGATATAGATTATTATCGTACTATTTGCATATTACATCGATGATTGGCGTTACACAATAGACCGAGTTCTCTATCATGATTGAATTAGAATCTCTCGAATAATCTCGCAGACTATTTACCGCGTTTTATCTACTCTATGCCTTTTCTGCTTCGTCTGACCCAAAATTCGGTCTGCAAAGATTTACATTGATGAAGCAAAGCGTACGTCATGCATTTGCATATACGCGCGTGAGATATTACTGTCGTCTTTTACTTTGACGTAAAGATCCGCGCGTCAATGGTAACAAAAGAGCGCGTAATTAGAACAGAGGAAAAAGTGATGATATAATCGCGAACTCAATCGCATCCCCGTAGCAATCGCTTGTAACAACATCTTTTCTGTTCTAGAAACGAGGGTGGTTCTTATAAGAAGCGGTGATTAACTCTTTAAACGAGATAAATTATTATCGAACGCGCTACGAACAATGCAATTCTGCTAACTCACTGATAAATTATGCCTGAGTAACTGTCGAGCGAGCAGAGATATCCCCTTAACTTTTTACCCGATAAAATACCAATAAAACTCGACGATTTTACACGACGGCGTAATCGCCACCACGTGAGGCGATTGCGGCGGTTTATCGATCGGCAATAAATTACTGCCACTTCAAAGGGAATTATCACTCGCGAGGGGATAATGAGTAGATCAACACTCACAGTACGATAATTGTGATGACCAAGAAGCTCGTCTGAGAAACGGAACGAAGTACAGAAGCTCATTGCAGCTTTCTAGAATAAAGAGGATATGCAATATGCTTCCGACACGCGAGACGTGTCTCATTAATTCATGTACTTTTAATGCCGGACGGACAATATGGTATTGTAATCGATCGATTTTATAAAAAATGGAACGAAGTAATATATTCTAATATAATCGCGAATGCGAAGTGCAGCGCTAAGATTTTTATCGATAACCCATAAATAATTACCGCGGAAGTTAGCAGAATAATTAACGTATAAATGCAATATTGTTAGCTGTAATAATAGTACCGAGTACTATGGTCAATACGTTTTTTTTTTTCACAACATACTTTACATTTATCTATTTAATTGTACTATCACAAAATTTTAAGGAAATAGATATATTTTATAAAATATCTCATCCATCTGATAAGCGGCAGAACTTTGCTCTGTAAATACACGTCGTAGAAATCAATATGGATCATAACAGGATTATCCGATTTATCTTAATTGCATTATTTTTACGCGGTACCTTAAATTCTTTCAATTGATTTGCACTTTATTATTTGTTAGAATTGCTACATATGGTATTTTCTGAAATATTTTATAAAAATAAAAGATATACAAATTATATAAATTTTAATCAATCAATACAAATTATATAAATTTTAATTAATCAATACTTATA